CTTGGCCAAATCACTGAACTGTAGTGAGAGAGTTAAATGGGCTTATATAAAACTTTATTCCAATATTAACATTCGGACAAAACATGAAACAAACTGTAACTGTGCAAGTACTTTTACAACATAATTGGTGGTTTAAATAGTAATAACTTTGCAATACTCAAGTTTTCACAAGGTGGTGTTAGATTTAGATATGAAATCCACAGAATGTAATGATCTTCACTGTTGGCTACCTTGAAAACCAATAGACAATCAAACAAGAAGGTAGTGGTCTTTTGAGTAAATAGTTAGTTCAAAACAAAGCAGCATGCATTTATAAGTTTAAACATCACAGATCGAAGTTGACAACTAATGGGATAATAAAGAAAAGAAAAGCTGGCACTTTGTACCCTCCAAAATCTTCCAGAACTGTTAAATATAGGGAACATTAAGAAATTTTACTTAATTTTTGTTCACCTTCTCTTTGAAACATAGTGTTGGCTAGAAAGAGTTTCAAAATTGTCTTTAAGGAATCTTGTTTTTTCCAAAGTAATATCTGTATTTACCATCTTTTCAGACATCTGTAGTGGAATATAAATTTCTTTTTAAAATGCTTAAATGAGAAAATAAATTATATTACTTCTCTTAATATGTAAAAAACAACATAACAGAAATGTAAGAATCTTCTGTCAAAATTTTTAAAACTAAAGAAAAATGTGATCTGGAAATAGAACTTAAACTAATTTTACTAACTGTAGCATGTCTTATAAAGAAGAAACTACACTATGACTTGTTTGGAATGACTTAAGTAATTATCCTTTGGATTGTACATTCATACAATATTTTTAAACATCTTTTCATTTTACACTTTGTGAGACTATAAAAACTAATACTGTCTTGTACTGTAAAATTTATTAATCAAAAAAGCATTAAAACATTGAATGAAATGCTTATTTTCTGTACAAGTCTAAAATAGATATATCACAAACCTTGAGTAAAGAAGCATATTATGCTAATATAATAATAAAGTTGCAAACAATGATTTATAAGCATAATGAAGTGATTAATTTTTTGGGGAACATTCAAAGTATTTTGACAGAACATTGATCTTACTTCTTTGGGTATAGTCTTAACAGACATTTATTATCATGAAACCTTGTTTAACACCTTCATATATGTGTTTATTTACTTGAATAGGGCTGTTGCATAACATTTAAAGTAACTTGCACAAAATCAGTAATTTTCAGTTTTCTCTAACATTTAGATGTACATGTATATGTACATATATAATCAAGACTTGTTCAGTCCTGAGTGCCAGGCTGCTATGGTGCTTTAATAAACAAAAATATTCAGGCATGTGGTAATTCTTTATGAATTTTTCATTGATAAAGATGTGATTTTGTGTATACAGTAATATTGTAATATAATTAAACATTCATCTCTGCATTTGTAACAAAAACATAAAAAAAATTGTATAACAAAAGCATTATATCCCTTAATGTTCCTAAAGAAAATTTACTTGAAGCTCTGTTATTACAGTCCAACAAAACACACACACATATATATGTAGATCATAGTGACATCATTATGTATTCAACCTAGTAACAGTGTTTGTGGATATCCAACATATTGTATAATAACATAACTTACAATGAAAAATATGTTTAACAATAATAATAATCAAACTAAAACTCAGCCACAAAGTACTTATTAATTATTTGCAAGAACTAGTAATAAGATAATTAATTACTGTAATTTTAATTTCCCTTATTAGAATATAAGTAGTACTTAACAGTGAATATGATTAAAATGTATAAATGGTTTGTAATTCTTGCTACTTTACATCCACCAGCATAGGGCCTAGACTGCATTGAATTAAGTCACTGTTAGTTAATTCCTTGATTTATCTGAGATGTGTTTTTTATATCCTAGTTGTGAGAATAGCAGATAAAATATAAAAATTGTTAGACATTATGACAGATTATTATGAGATTGTTGCCTTCCTTTGAATAAACATACTTTTTTAATTAAGGATGATAAAGAAAATGCCACATTTGTTAGTAGTGACTAATAAGTTACTAGCAGTTTCTGTTGTAGTTTAATAATCTGTCTGGTTAGCATCTCTTCTGTATAAGCAACTGTTAAACTTCATTCCTACTTTCATGACATTTACATAATATATGGTATTCCTGGTTTGGAGGAATAATGGTACACAGGTAAACTACTGTTACATAATAAGGGGTTTGAAGATTTCTGGATGGAATAATAATGTGAGAACAAATGCAGTTTACAAATGTAACTACACTGTTTATTTGATGTTTGTATTACATGTAAAAATCACAGAAAGCAATTATGTTATCATTGCTTTTCTGAAGGTCAAAAGTTAGGTTTAAGTTTGGGGTGGCTATTGGTAAAATGTGCAGATTCCATATTAGCTAAAACAAAGTGCATTCTGAAGCAGCGATTCAGACAAGCTTCTAAACTGCATCAAAACAAAACCTAGCTATGTATATGGACATTGATATGTAATAGCTGAGTGCTGTCCTCCCTGTAAGTGATTTACCTGATTCTCAGGTTTCGAGAACAGTTCTCCATATGTTACTGTACAGAGTGGCACAAGAAGAAAAAAGACAGCTGTATTCCTATAACTAGGGGCTTACAATTGTAGAACTGTGGCAGGAGCCTAATTAAAATGAACAGACTGCTGTTTACAGTATCTAAGCTGTTACTTGACTTGTTTGCAATTACGTAAGTTGTCAACCTCTCTCTTGATCCCAGTAGCACAGCAATGACTAGTACCGTAGATAACTTTATTGCCTTCTCAACTGTATGCATGTGGCTAGAAGGGAAAAGACAGAGCTTTTACTGAGCTAAAACTTTGTATCTTTTGCCATACTGCATGAAAGAAAAGCTCTAACTTTAATTGATATTTAACTTTGCCTATTTTCTCTGCTGTACACTGCAACTGTCAAATGCTTTTTCAATCTGACTTTGTGTTTTATAGGAAAGACAGTCACACACACACACACACATACACAATTTCTATCTCTAACTATCTCACTCTGTACTTTCCTAATATTTTCTTTCTTCGCAATTTAAATTATTTTTCTCAAAAAACTGCATTCACAATGTACATTCTGTCTGCTACTGACCAATCAGAAAAAAGGGTAATGAAATGAAAATATATTTGCTTTAAGTGACGGGCCCAAGGTATCCTCCAAACATATCAGATAGCAGATAAGCACTTTGAATGGTCAAGCTGCAATTTAGCAAGTGACCTCAACTAGTTTTAGAGTTCCAAAATCAGAACTTAGGGAAATTGTAAAATTTGTAAAATAAGAAACATACGCTGCAGAAAAGTAACATACACTGTACGTAGTGTCTGCATACTTCACATGAAAAATCTCAGATTTTTATGTGTGGTTAAATGCATTTATAACATTTGACCACATTTCTCTGAAATATTTACAGTACATGTATATAATGAAATAATAAAATAAAAAGCAATTAAACAATTTCTGAATCTAGCTAGGCCTGGTGGTTAGGGAGCTTGACTCGTAATCTGTGGGCCACGGGTTTGAATCCCCACCACTAAACATGCTTGCCCTTTCAGCCATGGGAGCATCGTAACATGACGGTCAATCCAAGTATTTGCTGATAAGAGAGTAGTCCAAGAGTTGGCAGTATATGGTGTTGACTAGTTGACTTCCCTCTAGTCTATCACTGCTAAGTTATGGACAGCCAGCATGGATAACCCTTGTGTAGCTTTGCATGAAATTCACAACAGATCAGACCAAACCTGAATCTAGTTCTACTGTGGATTTTAAAGTACTTAGGAATATTGTAACATTTTACAAACACACTGGAGCTATTTTCTAAAATAGCAGTCAATTAACTAAAACTTTTTGTTTCTTAAAGAAATACAACATTTTTAACAAACAGTAAAAATAATGTGTTCACCAAGTTGTTAAATATGTTTAATCATATTTATTCATATAATGGTGCTTTTTAATTAAATTATTGTTAAGACTGAACAGAAATTCCAAAATCTCTTTTTATGATAATTTCAGTACAAACATTGAGCTACAGTATTTTGTGTTAGGACCTATGACACATGGAAAACAGTTTACAAATATTATTAAATGGACTCTTTATTGCAGTGAAATTATATACTGTTTTAAAGATAAGTTTACATAGATAGGCCAAATTATTGTATTACACAAGGAGGCTTCATAAAACAGATATTGTTGTTTATGATAAATGCTTGTTAGTAAAACAAAATAGAGATTAATTTTTATTTCTTAATTAAATATCTAGGGCTCATTAGAGATTATATTTTGGAAGTAAACAAATGCTCACCTTTCTCTAAGTCTGGCATGTATTTGTCATATGAATTACCATATTTTGTAGAGCAGATAGTAAAATCGTGAAGAAATAATGAAGGCATTATTATAAACATATTTCAAGATTAAAGTGGAAAGTACAGAACTTCTAATATCTAAACATAAATAGTTAAAACTCTGAAAATATGACCAGTTATTTAAGCTTATACAACATAACATGAACTGTTGTTTGAATTTACAAAAGAACGGAGACTGAATGGGCATATGATCCGAATTTTATATTCTAATCAACCAATTAACTTTTAGACTAAAATTATTTCTATATCTTAAAATTTGTGATACAGTTTTAACTTCTATTAAGATCTGTAGCTACCCAGTTTACAGAAACTTAGATGTGAGTTTTACTCAGACTGACTTTTTTTCTTTAAAATTCTTATTATTTATTTATGTATGTTAATATGCTGGTTTTTACTTTTCAGCCATACCCTTTTGTGGATCTTAATTGTTTATATTGTTATATTTTAATTTGGGACTGTATAGTTGTGTTTTATTATTGCTTTTTGAAGTAGCCAAAACAACAGATGTACCCCTTATTTAATATAATATAGTTGATTAACAAAGATATATTGATAAATCTCTTATATTCAAATGTTTGTTAAGTTTGCTTACATTTTTCCACAGGATGATCTTGTGTTTGAGCTCGTGTCCCATTTAAAAGAAGTACTACAGGTAGCCTTTGAAGGGGGGTTTCCTTCTATTACCCATTGTGCAGAAATGGTTCCAAGCAAACTCTGAAAGTGAAACTTAATGGAGCTAACAACAGCTACAACTTAGAAGTCTTCAGTTTGTTTCTATTGATTTTTCAAAAGGTTAATGGATTATATTGTAAAAAGTTATCATACTTGTCTGGATATGCTTGTATATGTAGGTTTATATCTATATCTATCTATATATATGTAATATGCACACACATATTACAAGAACTAATTTCATTTTTATAGGGAGGGGTGTCTACTCCATATTCTTTCAGATGGAAGGGATCTCAAAATATTAAGAGGAAGAGTAACACAAAATGTATAAGAAAATACCTTATTTCCCCAAGAAATAAATGTTACTTGATTAGCTTTAGTTTTGGGTTCACAGGAGGTGACAGTTACAGGAAAACTTGTTTCCTTATTGAAAAGAAAGTCTTGACATTCAATAATATATGAAAAAATTAATGTGCTATAAATGTAACAGTTTAGAAGCAATAGCTGCATTCACTAAGAGTTAAGTTTTGAAACATATTTATGGTAGATATAAACGTTTTGTTAATTTTACTTAATTCATTAACATTTGTGTTAATCTTAACTTGTAAATAAGTATTTTGTCTTCTTGAGAAACAGTTTTGTCTTTTGTTACAATGAATTCTGCATGCAATATTAAAATCTTAGACCTAAAAAAAAGAACTAAAAGAAATCTGGCTACAATCAGGCAAAAAACAAAATAGATAAAACATTGAGAACAGCTGTGATTCTTTCCTAGATGTAATGAGTGGTAGTTCAGACTTTAAGAACAAAAAAAAACTGCAATTACATCATATATTATCAACTTGCAATATCCGGTGTGAAAATTTCTTACATTTTTGGAAGCGTCCTAAACCAGTTCGTACTTTTCCTTCCATCTTATGTAAAAGTTTGGCTTTCTTAGATTGTTTGCATAAAAAGTTTCCTGAATTGTTGTTGAAAACATGTTTTATACTCACGTAATGTAACATCATTCAATACAAATGTTCCCATAGAAGGAGGGATAGTTCCTATTATGTAACAGTTGAGAATCTGAAAAGGTAACATCAGTACTGTTGGTTTAAGCTTGAGAAATGTAACATCATTCAATACAAACATTATATGAGAAATGTAGAATGTTTATTAGAATTTATATTATTTAACAGTTTTTTCTGAGTTGTCATGGGAACTCTTCCTGCTCCTCTTTTTATCATCATTTTCATGCATTTTCTAATAAACAAAATACCTTAAATAATCTTTTGACAAGATTGTTTTTAGAAAAGATGTGTTGTTGATTTTTTTATTTTTTCACATGAACTCAAGACCAAGAAACACTCATTCCATTAATTTGTTTTACTTGAACATTAAGTTCACTGTGGATACTTCAGAAGAAATAGGTCAGTTGTCCTTTCTAAACATTACCCTCTGACAGATCTTTAGTGCATGAATTATATCCTTTTAAATTTTGTATCCAACTTTCACAATGTAATTGATATCCTTTTCACATATGTTGCATCTTTGTTGTACTTTCTTTGATAAAGTAAATGAACAATGAAGAAGATTTGAAAACATTCCAGCAGAATGGGTACACATTTTATGCAGTTAGAAAAATTATATTTCACTGTAGTATTATCTTTTCTTGTTAACAACCTTAGTTGTAAAGTGAAACTCGTCCCAAAGCCCAGGAATTGTAATTTAAGGCCAGTATTAAGGTTAGGGCCTCACACTTAAATTGCTTCTTGTTTAAATCCTGTCTGCTGTTCAAGTAACAACTATTTTGCCTGACTTCAAGTCTGGAAAGTAAATGCTCAGTGCAGATTAACCCTTACTCTGTGTGAACAACATTATTCCAGGAAAGTAAATGCTCAGTGCAGATTAACCCTTACTCTGTGTGAACAACATTATTCCAGGAAAACATGTTAAGCTGTAAGGGAAAGTATTAAGGAACAGGAAGAGATGCAAAGAGATGGTTTTCTTTATGCTTCTGGTCATTAAAATAACAATGTTCCTAACATTTCCTTCATTTAAAAAACACTTAACTCTGTTGGCAGAAAAATAACTAACAGAATTTTTATCAAGAATGAAAAAACAACCTTAAATACTAGGTTGATTTTAACTTTAACTAATTAACATTTGTCTTTTATAAAAATGATTATGAATTTCTGTGTAAAAAACTAATTATATTTTAACTCTAAAATTTCAGTTTCAGTAAGTGGAATTTGTTGTAAGGTAGAAAGATGATATTTGTATGTTAAGGTTAATATAGATATTAATGAATTAAATATGGTTTTAAATATGATTTTAAACTGTTTAAATTTAGAATATGTTTCAAAATTTTATTCCTCTTACTGAGCCCAAGTATTATTTTCAAGAAGTATCAGTGTAGTTGTTTTATGTAGAACTTATCACTTGTTTCATGCATTACTGAATATTAAGCATTTTATCTTCAATGATGAAACTCTCACCTGATGTGGACCTAAGGCCAAAACTAGTGGTGTGCTATATTTGTGTGAAAGAGGTTTTCTTAGGACGATAAAGTATTTTCTTCATGTATTTTGTGTGAAATGACTGTCAGTACTCTCAGACAAGCACTGATTTTTTAAAATAACAATTGTTTGATTAATGTTATCAAAACATTAAAATTTTCAAAAATGGATTGGCTTTGTATTTTGACTAAAGACAGTTATTCAATAGAATGTATTACTATGTAGATGACTATCTGGAGAAAACTTGAATCATATGAGGTAAAAATATGATTTGTGAACCTTATCCAGCCTACCAGTGTTGCTGAATAGCCACTTTGGCTTTCATTACCTTTAATTAAACTGGATGAGAAGAAAGTTATATATAAACTAAAGAGTTTTTTAATAGTTGGAATATTAGAGTTAATGTTGAAACCATTGCTACCTGTATGATGCTATCGGATTATGGTAAAAATATTTTGTGAGAACCTTGTATAATTTTTGGACATAGATGTTTGAAATCTTTAACTACTATTTCTTCAAGCAATAGTTCTAGATAATTACACTTTTACTGAAAAAAATTATATTGTGTCTACTTTGAGAAGTTGTTAGATATGTATAAATATAGATACTTTTTGTATTTTTATAGAAGTTGATATAATTACACAACACGAAATATAGATATATATAGTTGAAAATATAGTAAAATTCTTGGTGTCTAACAGGTTATACAAAATGTTTGAAAAGTTAAAGTTTGTAGAAAAATTATTTTATTCATAATAACAATAAGCTTCTAGTGAGGATGTAGTAATTTTCTTCCTGTATGTTTGTTAAGCAACTATACCATTGATTAAGGATGATGGCAGTGTATGAAGTTTAATTTTTAAGTAAGTAAAATTACCTGAAGGAATAAAAATAGCTAAAGACATTGACAAAAAAAAATAACAAATGGCTCTGAAGAACTTAGTCAAGAAACGTTGATGTTTAGAGATAACCATAGATTTATAAAGATTACACACTATTATACTTTGTTTGGATTTATGGTTGTTGTGAATCTTTGAAGTTACCTGAGAGTGAAGAAAAGGATGAGTTTATCTTTAAGATGCACTCTGTACGACTAGTTTTAAAAATCAAGCTGTAAATTAGCTTACTGTTTAAAAATCATCTTTCTAGTTACATGAATTCCTTACTTCAAATAAATTGGTGTTTCATGCAATTAGATCTTCAAGAGCCCATGAAATGAAAACTGTCAAAGAAACTAAAGAATAAATCATTTATTTTTACTTTTGTTTGAAATATAAATCTTAAATTAGAAATTTTTCAATAAAAATGAAATATTTATGTATCGTATTTGTGTATTTAAAAATAACCTAACAATTGAATGCAATAGATAAAGTCTGAAAACAGTTTTATAAAAGTTTAAAATTCCAATATACGGATGTGGATGTAATATCCATGAATGTACTGAACTCAAAGGTATGAATAATAGCTACAATAAGGAGAAGAATGGAAACGCTATGTAGAGTTAAATTGAGCTTTCTACCTCATTGAATTGAAGGAAAAGACGACACAAAATTGACAGTTAGATAAAAACCGTTTAAAAAAGACCAGTTTCCATACAACAAAATGTTTGCACTAGGCGAAAGACAGCGTCTTTCTTGATAGAGAATTTTACCAGGAGAAACCTGGTGGATCAAGTCTGAAAGAGCTGATCACAATAGTGTCATCCCTCTAAGAGTGGATGCAATACCTCATTTATTCTTGGTCGTTCCATAAGAACCACTAAATGTCCACACGGTTACCCTAGCTATAGAGACCACATAATATATAAAACTTTGACAGTTCTACAACGTTTTGTCCCCCAGAAGGACAATGGTAAGTCTTCGGATTTACAACGCTACAATCAGAGGTTGGATTCCCCTCGGTGGACACAGTAGATGTGGCTGTGATATAACAAAGCACACACACTTCACAACGTTTTCCATGGGAAAGTTTAGTGACACCCAAAATAATTGATTTATGACAATGTGCGACAGCAGATTAGGCACATTCCGTACTGTTATACGCGCGTACGTATGTGCCAACAGTGTCTAAGATTTAAGAAAAATTAACGCCTATTATGCTTCGGACATTATCTTAATAATTCCCATTTCTTAAAAATTATCAAATAAACAGGAACATGAATCACATTGTTTCAAAGACGTTAGGTAGTTAATATAAATAAAACTTGTTGAAACACCTTGATAGTACTGTTGTAATTATTCATATTGACACTAGCCATGTAGATTATTATTATTTATTTGTTAAAGTTACAATGACTGTACATTTCATCATCATTAGAACAGTTGATGACAACTGTTATTATTGAACGCATGGTTCGAAACGCAAAAGAAGATATTGTTCTACGCAACGGAACTGATAAAAGAAAATAGTTAAAATTGACAAATTAATACATGATAAAAATAGAAACAAGGTAATTTAAGCACCCATGAATGAAAGCAAAAAATGTTTTAAAAAGTCAATCACACTACATCTGCCATATCCAGTACCGATGAAGCCGTTCGTTCAATACCAGGGCTCATCAGACTAGCTTGGATACCACAGACATAGTAGTGGTTTAGGTGTATTATATATGTAATAAATTCTCGTGATCAGAAACCGTTGTGATAAAGGTACTTGTTTTTTGTGTGTAAATTTTGTAATTAGTGAAACGAATAATAAACAAGAAATTGCAATGCATTAATAGTAATTTGATCAGAAATAATATAGAATAATTTATCCTTTACTCATGATAATTGTCCTACACTGGATGGGATAACAGAAGTGCATCCTTGAAGTTGTGGTTTTCCAAATCACAAACAACCTTTTGGAGATTTCTTATACGTGTTAAAGATATCAGTCTTCCGGATAAAAAAGCCTGCGATTGTATTTGAAAGTTAAAATTATTAACTGTAAGAATAAAGTTTTAAGGGAGATTAAGAGTTAAACAATTACGTAAGTTCAATGACATTAAGAAGTATACGAGTTCCAGGATACACGTTTTTGGAACACCCAAGTGATGTTATTCACACTGATCAGGCTTCCATTTTTCTGATGACGAGAAAAGGGTTTTAACCAGAACATTACGATTTTCTATTCCCAATTGTTTCTGGTGTAGGCACATATAATCAGCCATTAACAATATTTTTGTCACCGTTTTTGAAAGAGTTTGTATAAAATGAATATTCTGTTACGGTTATTTTTGAGTTTGTCAATAGCTTAAAACAGACAAATTAAAAATCAACAGAATGACAAACTCTTGTTCTCTGATGTTCAATTCTACAATAACTAAGGTGTACTCACCACTAAAGTGTATCACAAACCCACTGTAAGTGGCTTTCACATTTTTATAGTTTCACTCCTTCAGACTAAAGAAAATCTGGTTAAATCCGTACTATATAGAACACTAAAATAGCAGGAAATCAAAACCTACTGGAAGCTGGAGTTGAGAGCATTAAACAAATGGTTAGAAGTAATGCTTTTCTGTTGTTGTTCCTAAATAGAGTAATCCACACAAAAACTGAAACTAAACATTCACCTGTTGTTGTATTAGATGTTTCGAGGGAAACTGTTACTTTACTCGCACTTAGACACTATTTAATATATGATTAAAAAGCAAGTTCTCAAACAGTTATTTCCAGTTAAAACGTATCTTTAAAGTAGAGTTCAAGTTAAAACGTCTCTTAAAATTTAAAGACAACATCCATTGAATATTTTACTGGTGGTATACGAGTTCCTGTGTCCGAGGTTGCAACCAGGGTTATATTAGGTCAATCGTTAGAAGGCTCTGCAGCCGAATAAAAGAAATGTAACGGTAAAACGTACAACACCAGTTGTAATACCAAATACCGTCTAAACGAATGTGATGTTGTGTCTACCTCCAATTTCTTCCACTTCATCCTCCATTTCCGGGAATAATCCCACTTTAGAATGCTAGAACCTCTTGCCATTAAGCTAAGAAAACCAGCTCTTTAACGAGAAAATGAGTGCACTGCCAGTACATTTTCAATCGTGAAAATGTAAAGTAGGAACACAACATGAACTTCGATCGTTGGATACCAGTTACTGTGTCCAGATTGTTCTGTTATATATATAGGTGAAACGGGACATAACCTTGCTAATAGAATAAGTGAACATAGAAAGGCATAGACATTAGGATCAATCAAAAGTTCTAAGCCAGCAGAAAATGTAGCTGATAACCTACATCAGCGTTTCCCAAAGTGTGGTGTGCGCTCCTTAAGGGTGGCGCAAATAATCTCTTGGGAGGAGAGGGCTTTCCATATTTTAAGTTGATACCTCTGGGAGGCCCTGTTGACACAAACCATGCAAGTTTTTGTTTATTGTTAAGCGCAACGCTACAAAATAGACTATCTGTGCTGTGCCCATCATGAACCCGGTTTTTAGCTTTATAAGCCTTAAGAATTACCGCTGTGCCAACCAAGCATATAACTTTTTTCTTTTTAATTTTTCCAACGTTTCAATGACTTTACAGTTCTCCATCATTAATGCAAGTAACGACAATGGTTATTAATGAATGCATGGTTCGAAAGGAATAACGATCAGAACTATCAGTTTAATACAGCAATGAAATGGCAGAATAAGAAGTTAAGATAAAGAAATTGCTAATAGTTTGTAATTAGTGAAAAATATAACTAAACCAATTAATCGTAAAATAAGAAGTTTGAAGTATTGTTAGATAATAACTCCTAAAATCAAGACTGGGAGCCAAGCTTCTGAAGGTGGAATTGATTGGTTTTGTGCTAGCCGTTCCTACTTTAGCAGTGATAGATTAGAAGGAAGAGAGCTGGTCAACAACACCCCGTCACTCCCTGGGCTGTTCTTGTCGGGCAGAATAATGGGACTTGAAACATACATATAGCTCAAAATATAGAGCGCCTTTTTATTTGGTGGAAATAGGGCGCGAACCACGGAAAATCGGCTCCACATTCTGGACCGCGATTGGTCTTGCAGAGAATGAAATAAACATACACAGTAAAGACAAAAGCAAACACGAGTGACCAAATTAATAAAATTTACGTTCAAAGTTAAGAATACGCTGAAGTATTTGCTGGAAACTGTATTGTAAACATACAAATATGACTTCACTTGAGGAGGACACGGCACGAAAACAGGGTCAAACAAATACAAGTCTTATGAAACATTTGTCTAAGCTAGAGGGTTAGTACAAGTTTACGACCTTGCTATGGATATCAATAACTACACGCAACAAAACACCTCCATCTAATCTTAGAAAAAAATACTTGAATACATCAGAATATTATTTAATAGTTATGAAAGGGTAGAAATGTCAATAACCCTTAATTGTCTATCAAAGACATTCCAGTTCATAAAACACAAACAACACAGCAAAATGAAGTGAAACAAAATATATAAAGCTATGTGTCAAACATTAACTGCTAATAAACAGCATAGGGTCATACAGAGACGTTTACAAGTTAGTATTAGTTGGATGTTTATCTTCTTTCATTATATTTATTTGTGTAGACTTTTAGAAGGTCTTGTAGCTAGTTTGAGTTATAATGCATTTAAAAGTTGATCAATTGGTAAAGAAACACTGTTTATGAATAAATGTTTTATTTACTCACTTGTGTTATTTGTCTTGCCTTTGCTGTTTTCATTAACATTTTTATTTCTTGTATAAAATTTCCAAAACCTGTGTTTTATTGAAACTTATACTTTTCTGTCAGACACATTCATCAAATAACATGTTATTGCCATGACCAAACATTTGTTGTTGTTTTTACAGAACTTATAAGAAAATAGGTATGAGGTGCAGTTGAGATTGAAACACTATCGGAAAATCCAGCATGATATAGGAGAAACATTCTTAGACCAAGAGTTTTCACCACCAATACTGAGAGCTATGTCTTCATTGTCGACCTATCCTCAGTATGCAAAGTTGAAATATTCTAGTGGATAATGAAACTACCAAGTTTTTACACGACCTTGTCGTATATCATGTACTCTGTAAAAAGCCATTAGTTTATCTAGTTAGTACATATGTTATTCTAGAAAATGATGGCATGACAAATGAACGTGATTTGAGAGATGCGACTGCCTTTTGGTTATGTCAGACACTGAATAAAATTAGTTATTTCTGATATACCTCCCATAGAAATTATCAATCAGTTTTGCTTGTGTGACAATTATA